TAATATATCTTTATTGATTTCAGAGAGAGGAAAGGAGAGGGAGGGAGGGAGAGAGAAAAATCAATGTGAGAGAGACACATCAATTGGTTGCCTCCTACATGAGCCCTGACCAGGGGGCCGGGGATCGAACCTGCAACCCAGGTATATGCCCTTGACCAGGAAATGAATCCACAACCCTTTGGTGTGAAGGCTGACGCTCTAACCACTTAGCCACTCTGGCCAGGGCAGTAGTTAATATTTTTGAGAAAAAAATTTTAATGTACAAAATAAAGCAAACATATTAGAATACATATAGAATCCCTAAACACATATTGGACTTCCATTTCTAACTCTGACAAGTAAAGAGCTTGTAAATTATCACTCTTATCCTTACAAGAAAAAAACTGGACAATCTGACAATCAACAGCTTTTCTTTGACCCATCAGAGGACAAAAGTTAATATTTATTGAGCACTTAATGCAATAGACACTCTGCTAATCATTGCATTAATTTTATCATTGTCCCCACTTCAGAGATGAGAAAACGGAGGTTCAGAGGGAACAAGGTAACTTGCTCAAGGCCACAAATTTACAACAGGAAACAGCCAGTATGAGAAGGGCAGGGCCACTTGTTAACCAAACCTGTGCTTTTAGTCCTATAGCTTCCCAAGGGATGAGAGGGTGAACATGTGCCTTGTACTAAGACTTTAAAAAAACTCTCAAATAACAGTCTTGCCTTTCTCAGGGTCCAGGAGCTGCAGACAGTGCTCATTTCTGATGTGTATTGGCCCAGAGCCGTGTGGAGGCCTGGAATTACTCTCTGACCTGCAAGAGTGACTGTCCAAGCCCATCCATCTCTGAACTTTCTCCAGCTCTGGCACCCTGGAAGAACCCCGAGTCTCTGTCACCTCCCCAGGACAGAGGCTAACAGTCATCCTTCTAATTTTTTAAAGGCATTTGTTTATCCAGGAGCTGTTTCCTACAAGGACAAGAAGTGCCTTCTTCCCTGGAAGGGAATGACACCTTCTCACTTCCCCTGCCCCAGACGGACTGACCCACAGATTCCCTGACCTGGGAGATAACCCTTGAGGGCCATCCCAGCTGGCTAGAGGGTGGGGAACAAAGTCCCTCAAAGTTCTCAAAGGCTTTTCATCAGGCCATCCAGACTCTCTCTCAACGTGAGCAACAATGTGTGGCATGTTTTAGTGCTGGGGCTCTGAGGTCAGGCTGCCAGGAGGCAGAATCTGGAGCCCTCTCTGTTACTACCTGGGCATATTAGACCAGTCTCTTCGCATCTCGAAGCCTCTGCTTACCCCTCTATGAAATGCAGATAAAGGATAGTATCCGCTTGACAGGAGGCTGTAACAAGGGTGCATAAAGCACGTAGTGCATGCAGCGCTTGGCCATTTGTGTTTCATCCATTGACTGACCCTGCTCATCTAGTGAGTCTATGACAGGTTAACTCCAAGAGCTAGATTATCAGGGAGTCAAGGCAAGAAGACATTTCAGTTCTGCAAATATTAATGAGCATTTCCTACATGCCAGTGTGACACCATGTTGCAAATATGTTAGCCACATGCTCCTACTCACAAATATGTTAGCCACATGCTCCTACTCACCCCTCAGTGAAGCTCTGCGAGGCATGTGAGGCATTTCAGAGATGGGGAAACTGAGATAAAGAGAAAGGAAATAGCATAAACTTTGGGGAGGTGGACGGCATCTGCTTTATCACGCCCCCGGTGCCCAGCACAGCCTCTGGCACACAGGAACTCAAGTGTTCGTCCAGTGACTGAGTGCACTCCGTGTCCCCGAAGCAGGCTCCCAACACACCTGCGCATTTCAGGTGCTGCTGCTTCTGCATGCAGCCTCC